ATTTGAACGACGATCATACCAACTGATGATGGTATTAAAATTCTTAGTTCCACATGATTCAAGCTTGATTTTTTTCTCCAAGTTAAAAAAAGAGATTACCCCTCACTTTTCTCGCTCTTCAAGAAAATAACATTAAATTACTGGTAAAAAAGTGAGACCACCACAAGCAGTCTTACCTCAGCAGTAATTACTTCGACAACCAACTCACCGCGATGCGCTCGCATGATCGAATCGAACAGTTTTATAATCTCCTCAAGGAGATTTAGCCGTCCATTTTCCGCTAATAACGCTAAAAACAAACAACTGCATAATCCGAAAGCAAACAGATATTTAAGATAATGCATAAAAATATTGAGATAAAAATAAAAAAATGAATGTTTAAGTTTTTGTTATCGCAATTTCAAGAATAACAATACACGACGGCGCGGATAGAAAAAGAAAGAAATCCGCAAATGAAGAGTAAGTAACGGAAGTTCTATCTTGCCAAAGAATTTGAAATTTAAAACCTTTCGTTCTCACTGCCCTCCCACTGGCTCAATGACAATCCATGAATTCAGTATTACCAATACTTTCGTACACAACTCAAATAAAGTACAGAAGTTATAGTCTCGAAATGAAAGTTAAGTAAATTAATTATGCAAAAAAACTTACAAAAACGGTCATTAAAATGAAGACTGGTACGGATACTTCTCAAAGAAAAAGGAAACTCTTAAATTTTAAAGTACTAAAAATCTTAGTGAAGTAAATAATACAAGAATCTGTTGTATCAAAATTGCAAATTGTAAGACTATGTACTATGATGGAACCCTTTAAAAGGCTCACTGATTTCGAAAATGAATCATTCCTTCCATAAGTTGGCGGTTGGCTATCTTGCATCCCTTGACAATCTTTTCTATTCAATTAACTCTTCAGTTGATCTCAACACACTTCCAAATATATGTGATTACCATTAAATGAATTTTCACATTTCTCAGTTGAACTTTGTCTACGGAGAAAGCAACTGTCTCTCAAATTTCCAATAATTTCGAAATTTATGGAATAAGAATTTCGAAAAATTTACTTTCAGATGACGTCCCATACTTCACCGGAAGATTTGAAGGCAATTTTGAAAGCAATGGAAACAAGTAGATTTTTGTATGATTTTTCAACTCATATTAGATCTCCCTCTCCTCATACAACTCAAAATATTGCGAACTGGTTTAATGATACCTTTAATTTGGATCATTACTCTCCTATTATAAGGTTATTTTCGCAAAGTGTTTTATCTAAGAATAATGCAGGAAAGAAAAAAAAATCCAATAACACAATTACTGAAAAATCCTAGCAGCGTAACAAACTGTATTGTAAACTTTAGCCTCATCACTCGAATCAAAGGAATCAGAGACAACATTCTGCACCACTAATTATAGCCCAAGCCTAGTTGCTATTGCTGCATTTGGACTGATGAACAGCTTCAATATGTATCTCATAAGTTACAAATCATGGCCAGCTGTTCTTTCAGGTTCATACTTATGCTTTCATCTGCAATTCCACTAACTTCTTTTCAATAACTTTTAATCAAATGATTCCATCCACTAAATTCCAGGTCTAATAGCTTGTCTGCAAGGTCCCCTTGTTTACGAATGGTTCAATTTGCATGGCATGAAATTAACGCGCAAAGAGGTAACTACTTCGCTTAATTTAAGTCTCGGCTTTAGGAATTCATTTCTGGAATTTATCTTTCTGAAAACTCTCAAAAACACACTAAACGTACCAACGTTTCAAGGAAATGACCAAATCAAGAAAAGATTTCAGTTAAAATATTTAAAAAATAATTAACGACTGCTCCTTTCAAGAATGAAAATATGCCACTAAAGCGAGATAAGATAGGAACACTGTAATCGTTAATTAATCTAAACATAATTTTTAAGCGAATCTATTTCGATGAGAAAAATATTCTAGAGACATCAAAACAACTCGACTTCAATCTGCCACCTGTCTCTCATGATTTAACTCCCGGTAATATAACAGGTAGAATTTCCTGATCAATTGCCATTAAATAGTTATCTTCTTACTTAACGGATTTTTAATTATCTCTTATGAGTACTCATCACTTTTCCAGTTTATGGCAAGTTGCGTGTTTTAAGTGTGCTGTTTCAATGATAAAGTAGTCTCAACAGCAAAATAAAATTCAGTTTCACAAATAGGTTTATGCATAAGTAAAAACTAATCGTTGGAACACAAGGATACAGTGAAAAATTACTTCAGAAGAGAGAAGATCAGTGTTAGCCGAAATATTTCGAAATGAAAATGATGAAGAAATGCAAAGAGTTAGTAATTAAGTCAAACTGACTCATGTCACTAAAATGTCAACGAATGTTTCCGCTTTGCATAATCAGTTATAAAGTTCTAGTAGTCTTGAAAAACCACTGTCACTAGATAAGAAAACCTCTTTCTGCTATTAAATAAAAGGTAATCATGAATCAAATGTCTCGATTAAAAAGCTCATTGACAAGTTTCAAAAATCTCGATTTTGATTAAGATTGTATAAGTCTATTCTCTCGAAAAATTTTTTTGACCTTCCGTTCTCGATTCGTCCCATCTAATTCCACATTTTTTAATCTCTTTGGAAACTTTTTTCTCGCGAAATTTCTTGATCACATAGGCATTTACTCCAAAATTAGCAATAATGCATTTTCAGTGGTACCAAATGCATTATGGGAACGTTTATGAGCATGCGAAAAAGGCCGAACGAGAACGTAGGATGATGCAAGAAGTAGCTAAGAAGCAAAATAAAACCAATTAATGATTATGTTTATAATAGATGCTTATTTCACCTAGTTTATCGGTACTCAATCACAAATATGCACATCTCTATCGGCAAACAAATTTTTCCGTTATTTCATTAAAAATTACTTTGTCACAATTTTCTAATAACCAGACATGTATAAGTATACGGACATGTATACTCATATACATAACTAGCAAATAATTAAAGGTTGGTTTATTAGAAATATTTATGTTTGGAGACATTTCTTAATCGCTGTAAGGCAGATATCTTTGAAACTTGAAGGAAAGCACCATGACCTATGCAAAGATATGTATAAATCCATGTAATATGTGGTGTGCAAATGTACTAACCTAAAAAATTGAGCGTTTCCTTGCTTACATTTAGCTTTCCGGCAAAATCCTTCACAGTGTTCACTTTAGATAACGGTGTTAATGTAGGATCCAATACAAAGTTCTAAAAATAATTTCGGTTTAGCAATACTTATGTAAATAATGAATGACAAAAACTTAATGCAGCCTCTGAAAAAAACTCACGCACGATACGATGTAAATACTTCTTATGATTTGATTTGACATCTTATGTGAAATTATGCCAAGAAAATGCATATTATGTATTACGTTCAATTTCTATTATCTATATTTCCTTGGCACAATTTCACTTACTATGTCAGATTAAATCATTAAAAATCAATGATAGTTATCAGTTTAGAACAAAGATAAAAATCTTTTCTCTTCCAACATACCTTAAATTTAACACTAGTTTGGTAAACACTTTGTAACGATTTGAGATCCTTATCGATAGCATCAAGGTTTTTGTCCTTCACTGCTGCTGAATATAGTGCTACTGCATATCGTCCTTCTACCCCATGTACCTGAAGGTTTCTTCAGTTTTATAAAGTCAAACACTAATAAACATAAAAAAGAATTTCAAGAAGTGTGACGTAAGTTAGACTTCAATCAACGATTTGTCTGACAATGGCTTCGCGTAAGCAAAATTGAGCTTAAAGTAAGTTCTACAGAGTTTTAACATAACGTGAGCTATGTTAAGCTTGAAACAAATTTGGGATGTTTTCCATAGCTACTTGATGTATGACAACTACGCCAAAACAAGTTTAAAATGTGTTTTAAGGTTGGCTAACACCAGTCTGTCACGTTTTAGCGCATGAAAAACATCTGTTCCTTAGAAAGAGGGAAAGTCATACTCAACGATAACATATGTCAACAAGCTCAAACATACCGTTGACAAATATATCAATTATCAAGGCATGAAAAGACCCATGTTTATTTCAACAAACATATCAACTGGCTCAAAAAAGCAGGAGTAAATATGAGATGGAAGTTAATGCATACTATTTCGGCTTACTTTTTACCTAATTCAAATTTGAAAAGTAAAACTTTTACCTGAATAGGTGACCTAACAGTATGTTCCGTTGCTCGCACAACAGCACTCAAAGACATACATCTACGCAATACATGCCAACTCATTCCAGCTGCAAATAACACACCTAATGGTTAATTAATGAGTAAAAATTTGCACGAACAATTATCACAAAAACCTTTGTTAACTTGCTTGTCCAATAAGCATGTTTGCTTGTCCAATAAGCATATTTGCTCGTCTGGTAAGCACATTTTCACCAAACACGAGCCGATTCTAAGAATACTAATATCTCTAGTCTCTACCATTTATCTAAACTTAGTATTACACTATTTCTTGCTTCTCTCAATAGCTGACAATATTCAAAAATGCAGAATCTCGTAAATTCTCGTGTCCCTTCGTCACACACTATCTTGCAAATACTAGTCATCTCTGCTGTTCCTCCTTGCAAGAGACAATCCCTCCACACCTACAACTCCCCCACCACAAGCAACCAATACCCTCCCCCTCACGAGAAACGAGCTAGTGCCACGATAAAATTTTAACGCAGCCCGTTAGATGTAGCCATTTGTGGCGCTTTCTAAAATCAGGCCTGTTATTTGTTCATTCCTTTCCAAGTTTGGTTGCAAAACATTTAGTTTTTAGGTTTAGTTAACTTAATTGGAGTGGTATTTAGATGGAATCCAATAATTAAAAATCGAAATGTCGAGTAAGTAATCGGGACGGAATTAAAATTCACGTATTGAAATGAGTTGTGTCATATTGTACATTTTTTTAAAAAAACCATTTGTCAGTAATGTACGATTTTCCCATGTGATATATTTTGTTCAAGCTGCTAACCGTAATTTTCCAAAATCCTGATATGTAACTGTATTATGCTTTTATACTTTTCACCTTCATGTTTGAATTTTACAAACGGATCTGAGACAATGTTTCTGCCATCGTCAGGATTGAGGATGATACAAGAAACAGATGGCGAGGAAATTTCTTACATGGGTACATCAGCAAGTGAACATGCAACTGACACCATTATGGAAATAGATGATGCAGCCGATGGTACCACGGCTACAGATAATGAATGTAGTAAGGCTGTTTTACGTAAACCGAAATCAGGTCGATGGTGGAAGTCGATTCGGAAAGAAAGGTACAATTACTTTCTTCTGGATAATGAGTCATAGATTCTGCGTGTCTCTAAGAGAACTTGGAATATTTTGTAAAAGCTCTCCTGAGGTTTTCTGAACTTATAAATGGAATCAAACAGGAATAAAGTTAGAACCTTCAAGTATTTGTCAAATTAAAATCAGGTGCTCATTACATAAAGTCTGCAAAGTTATTAAATTTCTCTCTACAGCTTGGTCATAACTTGAACATGTTAAACTTAGATCTTCCGCTGTTGTAAAAGTAAAACCGCTGAAGTCCTCATGGGAACGTAAGATGCGTGTAAAAGCAGAATTGGAAAATGTTAAAAAGATGCAGCAAGAAGTGCGTAATAAGTTAGCTGCCAAAAAAGCGGTGAGTAAATGCACAGTCTAAGTGTCTACAAATTTTCATTCCACTTTCACCTGTTACTGATATATTGCCTTTAAAAAGATGAGTTAAAATAATCTTTTTCGTATTTTATGATGTAGTTCTAAAAACATCATTTTGTTGTGATTGCGTTTTTAATATTCGAAGATGAATGAAAATTTATATCATTTAGTGATAGAATTCAGAATATGAGGCGAATAAAAGATGCTCAAGTTGGATGGGATACAATATTTTTCAGAGCATTAATCGAAATTACTAATCTTTTTTCAAACTATCTAGTCAGTTCAGGCTAAAATAGAAGCTCGAAAGGAGCATGAAAGGAGACAAAAGGAAAATGAGAGAAAAGCAGAAATCGTCCAAATTATTAAGAATACAGAAAAGCTGAAGAAAACGAAAAAGAAGCTGTTAAGGAGAATCGAGAAACGTGACACGACTGAAGTCCAATGAAAAATTACTTTTTGGATTACCATTGTTTTACCGCTCTCGTTCATTGATGTAAATTTAAAAAGTTTCACAGCCTTAATAGAAACCAACGAATTGGAATTTTAGTGAATTACTTGTTTGAATCAGAAAGTTCAGATAATTATGAACTAAAGAAAATGAGTTGGAGGATAAAAGAAACTGAGGTGTGGGGAATCTTCTCATTTTTTACTTTTTATTTTTTTGGGAATTAAAAGAGGGAATTGAGACCGTCGGTTTTGTAACGGGGAAACTTTCTCCCCAACATGTTTCAAAATACGATGAAATTGAAGCTCAAAATTTGCACCACTTTTGCTAAAGCTGCGGAACTATTTGGTTTTTGATTATTTTTAAACTATTTGTTAAAAGTTTGTTTGTTACTCGATCGTGTTAACTTCGATTCTCCGGAAGAGTGTGATGAATGTTGCTCATTCGTATATTTTATATAATAAATTTTTTGACATCGAGTTTTGAATTAATGTTAGATGGATAAAATCATGATTAATATTTTGTTATAAATTGAATTTCGCTGATTATATTAATGCTGTGATGATATGATAAAAGCGACTCAGTGCAGCCAGCTTCGAAGCTCGTGAGGATTCAGATTTTAATGAAAAGATGAACAGATTTATAAAAACAAATAAGGTCTGCGGTGTATATGTAATGGTGATGTTTTCTTTGTTTTTTAAGCCATAAGCCTTACAAAGATGTCCGAAGCGCAGGCCGGCTCAACGAAATCACACGATCGAGGTTGTCGTCATAGTAAGCGACGTCATGATAGTAGTATCAACGATAACGATGATGTCGGCTCATCGAGATATCAGCGAATTGTTACTGAGGAAGATAGAAAAGATTTCGTCAGTTACCAAAAAGGTTAAAGGACATTTTCTTGAAGGGGATGTGTTTTGTTTCTCTTATTAGGAAGGGTCCGTTTTCTTCTGATGAGAGTCAATTCTCGATTAGACATGATATTTAGAGATAATCGTTTACTTAAATTGCATAAGAGTGTAATGAGGATGTAATGAAAAATGAAAAGTAAACTAATCTGTGCAGTATAATCTAATATGTTAGGATTGGAGATGAAAAGCCTATTGTAAAAAGTTCATTCCTCTAAATGATTTCATTCTACAAAAAGTTAGCATGAAATAGATTCAGAAAAAAGATTTTACTGTGTGAGTCAATCTTTAAAATACCTAGTCCTCAATCTTTTTGTTCCTTAAATTTCTGAAACATTTCCAGAAATGGACGAAAGACGTGATCGGTATGAGAGGATCGTAAAACTTTCCCGTGATGTAATTATTGAATGTAAACGAATCATCTTTCAGTTACACCGTATAGTTGTTGTTGACACAGCGAAGGACAGAGGTAGATGTAGGTTTCAATTTTCATTAAAAAATTGATTCTTTGTTAACATCATAGATTTATGTGCTTACGCTTATCAAAAAATTGAAAAAAGAAACAGGATGAATTTACCGTAATTCTTAATATAATTTATTGTTCGAGACTAGAATGAATGAAGCTAACTTGATAGGCGTGATTTCTTAATTTAGCTTTTGTTGGCATCGTTGTTTCATTTTGCATAACAAAAATGCTATCTTTACGAGATCAATGATAAATGTCAGCTCAATATTCACTAAGTCATAAGATGACATGAAATAGAATCTGTTCAAAGACTCTTAAATCCATTACCATTAGTGATGAGGTAAGCAGTAATTAATGAGATTTGCTCTTATTATCTCTTAGTGACTAGATCTTGTGTCCATTTGATTGAAGGACTACGGACTCTTTCGAAAAACCTTATAACTCAGCTTCTAGTTCATTCTTTTGTTAGAATACAGTTGACTGACTTTGTTCGTAGTACTCATTAATTTGTATTTAATAATTTTTGAGAAGAGAAGAATCCGTCAATGACATCTATTTTTAGAAGAATTATTGAAAGAGGCGAATAAGCGGTTAAATGAGGTGAGTAGCAAAATGCTTCAACGAATGGCGAAAGAACTTTATAATCTGGATCAGTATTATTACATAAAATCTTTTGACTGGGCTCTTGAAGGTAATTTTCTTGATAGAAATCTCCCCACCATCTCTTGATTTTGATTTTCCCACCGAGTTTGTTAATTGATGCTAATAATTAATTAATGGCGAATATTAAAAGATTAGGCGGTAGGCCAAACCTAATTTTGCACTTTTTTCCTTCCAGTTTTTTCCCCTTTACCTTTTTTCCTTTATGGTTATATTGCATCTTTCAAAATTCCTGGACTTTTTTTTAACCTACAACGATCGAGTACGACATTTATCTGTTGTAGGGGAAATAAGACCACTTACTTTAAACAATGGGAAGAAATGCTTATTTGCTGTCCTTATTGTTGAATAAACTTAAACTGTTGGTTTGCAAGTGTTTTTTTCAGAATACATTGAAGCTTTGGCATTCTATAAGTTTCTAATATCTGGCGAGGTGCTTTTATACGGTGAGGTGATCGATGCATTACAATTTGTTGATGCAGAATCTGGAGAAAGCAAAAAGTTAATCTTGTTGTCATTTTCTCGAATTTGCAATTCAACTTATAAATTTTTAATGCTGTCAGGACTGGCAACAGGTCCTTACAAGATGTGCAAGACTAAGCACCATGTTTTTTATGGTTCATTTATTGCCTTGATCTTTTATTTTGAAGTAACCAGTTAAAATTTTGACCTAAGACTTTATGACATACTTCATTATTACCATTCTTCGTAATCCCATCCCAAGGTATCAGAATAGATTTTGCACAAAGATTTTTCCAGATCTTTCAAAAGTGCAGTTTTCAGTCTTTTTCCTTCTTCCAGTTTGATTTATTCAGTTTGTAATTGAGAAATTTTTTTTGATTATATAATAGCTCAGGTTTTCAGGCTTTATGTGGAACTACCTGAGGTAACGTATTTGATGGGAGTTTTCGATGTAGGTGGCGAGCTGATGAGACTTGCTATTAGTGAGGTTTGTAAATTTTAAAATTTTCAAAAAAAATTTCTTTTATTCCGTTGCTTTCTTAAGGTAAAAAATTAGAGTAGCAAGAAAACTTTATCGATAAAACATCGAAGTTCGATGAATAAGCGCAAAACATGAGGAGGATGAGGACTTCTATTTTTAGCTTTTGTTTACCAAAAGATGAGAACGTGATACATTTTCTTACAATCAGTCTTAAATAAACCGGAATACCACTCCAATTTTTTGCTTAGTGCAGTTACATATCAAATTGGGCTAAATATCAACTATTCAAATTTCAGGACAGTCATGATATTAGTTACGTAATTCAACATATGCTTTAATTTGACGGAGAATAAAAGTTGCTAGCACTTAGCCTTATTGTAAATTTTAATAACATTAGCAGCTTCCCGAACATTTTTCCTTTTAGATCTCCATGATAAATCGAATTTTTATCATTTACCAATGAGTCCGGAGGTATTTTTCTGTTTTAAAGTTAATGAATTTTTCTATTTTAAAGTTAATGAATTTTCAAATCTTTAAATTTATAGATTTCATCGGGTAATTCTGATATAGCTGTAAGTATTGTTAATTACATGCGGTTATTGCATGGGTGCTACGAACTTCTGGGCAATATAATGCATACTGCAGACTGGGCGAAGAAATCCCAAGTTTTCCGGGAATGCTTGATGAAGGTTTATTTCTGTTTTCGTAACTGGGAACTAGTTGCTAGCACTTACGCCTTATTGTAAATTTTAATAACATTAGCACCTTCCCGAACATTTTTCCTTTTAGATCTCCATGATAAATCGAATTTTTATCATTTACCAATAAGTCCGGAGGTAGTTAAGTATCGATTTTTGAAACAAAGTTTAGCTTTGAATATATAATATTGAAAGAAGTTTAGAAGAAACTTTTTTTAATAATCGTATTGGTACTTTTGGTATATTGTATGCCATATGTCTTTGGAGATTCAGCATTTCTTACGGTGCCTGACAAAGTTACCTCTTTTTCAGGTTGAGAACGCTCTGTATAAATGGAAAATCCGTGAAAATGACATACCTGCCGAATCAGCAAATATCAGTGCAATTATATGAGTATGATATTTGCAGTTATCTTTGCTTATGGGGAAGCTTCTGCGAGAAAAAATTACTAGAAATAAAAAAACACTGAATTAAAGAAATTACTAGAAATTAATAAGGAAATTAACGCCACTATTGTTAAAACCAATAAAAAAACTAGAAATAAAGGAATTGTTTTTTTTTTGAAATATGTATAAATTTACTTGGATGATAAGAAACAGGAAGGTTCACTCTCCATTTCGGAAATGAAATGCTTTCCCTCTTGTTTTAAGTGTACAGTTGATATTAGTCCTAATCTGATTTGGAACCATTTTTGATTATTCCGCGAATAACGTTACTATTGTAAAAACCAAGTCAGATTGGACTAATGGCAATTCTTTCAAAGTAAGAGGTAATCATCTCATTTCTCTAAATAAACTTTCTCGGGGAAAGTTTTTTTGTTGTTTTTGATTTCTTATTTCTTATTGTTGGTGAATAATTGTTCTATGAAAGTTTTGCTGATTTTTCGAGTCTTTTCCCATTTTTTATGTTTTTTACGATTAAAATAATGACATTTTGATGCATTTTTGGCAAAAACCAATACAAATATGGGGAAAATAGTATTATTTACTGGAATTTTCGAAGTTTTAAACGATTTAATTTAAATATTCCTGCCCTATATTACTTCTCCTAATTTGTTTTTGGCTATTGGGGATAAGTTGAAAGTAATGAGTCCAGGAATTATTACTCAAATATTCCAATTCTCAGTGATTAGTATCAGTGATTTGACATGATTAACACACGCTGAGCACAACAAATTATGAATTACTAGAGGGTCTGGATAATGTCGACAACTATGCTACGTGAAATTCATTTCGTACATTTGACACGATTCCATTGGATCTATCATTTAGCACCGCGATCATATCAGATATTCACAGATTACCAACAAGAGTAACAGTTCAAAGAAATTTTTGCTATGTAGTTTGGGATTTATTAACCAGTTTAATATCGGACAAATTTCTCAAATCAGAATCACTTATATCATCGCATAGTTCTCGTGTTTCACAGTCTTTAAATTTCCATAAATTCCTACATTCTGAGAAAGAGGCAAGTGTGCTTGATTGATAACAGATCATCTTTTTGGTTAAATTATATCACTTTCCGTTTGATTCATTTTCAGTAATTCGTTCCGTGATATCTTTCCAGCACTGTTAATTGGCATGTTGTCGATAAATTGGATACCACCTTTTAGTTGCTTATAACTCGCAAATTTGGCTGAAATATATGGAATTGTTTGTTTGTTTTTTTTCCTTGGAATTATTTGAAATAAGGGATTATCATTCATTAATTTGTTCGCAATATTGCATCATAATTTGATTTTAGAAATTTTGGAAAATTCCGGTAATATTGCCAAATAATTACAAGTAGTAAAATGTAAAGAAAAATGGATTTATCGATTGATTTGTACTTTTGTTTTCATTAAATGATTTTCATTGAGAACATGTCCATGCATTTAACATTTTTAATTCGTTAGCCAAATCATTTACTACACATAATTTTTATAACTAACTAAACGAGAAACATCCGGTATGGAGATGATATGGCTAAATGTTGCATTCAGGTAATTTTACATATTAACTAATGCGACAATTGATAACATCGTCTTTCTCTTTCTCTTTCTCTTTCTCTCTCTCCCTTCCTTTCTCTCCCACTATCCATATCCTGTACTATTGTCATATTATTAACATACAGTTCACTAATTGATGAATTGTATTCTCGTCTACTTGACATCCATCATGAAGCTGAATATAAGCCTTTGGTAGTTGTCCACTATATTCATCGGGAATACCAACTACAGCACACAATTCAACATCTTCTAATTCTTGGATTGCTTCCTCAATTTCATTAGGTATTACCTAGATATCATTATGCATAATTATAGGTTATCAATCAAATGATAAAACTTTCACACATTTTCTCACGTTTCTTCTGATAAAATAGACCATTATATTTGGTTACTAATTCTCTACTTTTCCATTTTTAATTTTTTTCAATTTAAAATTCATATTTAATATAAGGTTTCAATTTCATATTAAAATGACTGAAATAACATTCAGTTGTCAACCTGCCAGCCGCGAACTTTGATCATCTCCTTAATACGACCAGTTATGTAAATAAATTGATCGAAATCATAATATCCCAAATCACCAGTTCGAAACCAGTCATCAATAAAAGCATTGCTAAAATATGATCCAAAATGATGTTAAAATGAGATTCATTTTTTTGAAGAAACGATCGAATTTTACAAATTTCTGATCATACTCGATATCGGTAGTACTCTCCAAATATCCTTGCATCATTGTTGCTGTCTTTAAATATATCTCACCGATTTCCTTTTCTTCACATTCTTCATTACTCGATAATTTCACAATCTATTATTTTTTTTTTTTTTAAATTTCATCCAAATATGAAACATTTTACTTGTAAATTAAAGCCCATAATTAATAATTGTTTTATCGATCGATTATCCGAGAAAACAGAAGAGTGTCGTATAAAAGGAAAATTGAAGAATGAGGAATAATTGAAATAAAGATTGAAATAGTATAGAAGTCTATTCCTTTGTAATACAAATACATTAAATACACTATCGTCAAATTCGATTATCATTTTAAATACAACTAATATTATGTAAGCATGGAAAACTATATTAGATCACTGAGTCATTAAGTCACTCAATTTTTGAATCATTAAGTTATTAAGTATTTAATTAAAACCTTACCTTGCATTCAACATTTGGCAATAAAATTCCACAACTTCCGGTCTTTTCTTCCGAAAATAATGGTTGCATACAAATGAAAGCTCCAGCTTCTGTTGTACCATACATTGAAATATGTAAATTGTTTAAAATAAGGGAGGGAGGAGGGGGGAGGGAAAAAAAGAAACGAAGGATTAGATTTTTTCAACTAACATTAGTGATTTTCAGAAATTTAATCAAAAATAAACTTTTATTGGTTAATTCATCTTTCCAACATTTTGAATTCTTAAAAATAAATTTAACAATTTGTTTAGTAATTTGAAAATTATAAAAATTCAACAAATTTTTGAAATTAACTCACACTGAAGAATGTTTGTTTTGGGTAAGCGACGTTTTACTATTTCGACAAGTGATTCGTTAACATGAGCTGATCCTATGAAGATGTATTTTAGAGAATGGAATGCTTCAGGATTTAGATCAGGAATATTCGAGAAGAATTTTAGCACCGGTGGTACCAACAAAGCTGTTGTCACCTAAATTTTATGCATTTCAATTATATTTATTCGAAAAGTAGCCTCAAATTTACAACAATTTCTTTGTTCAGTGACTGTTTGATAAAGGTAAAAGGTGGGAATATAAAAATTAAAATTTAATTAAAGACTTTTGATGATAGATGCAGAGCTAATCAAACGTCAAAGTATTAAAAGTGATAAAATTTTGATAAATTTGAAACTTCTCACCTGTATGCATTTTTTTTTTTTTTTTTGGCAAAAAGAAATACAAAATAGAAAGAATGAAGTGTTACCTGGTAATTGCTCAGTGTTTTCAGAAACTCTTCACCGTTAAATTTCCTGTTTATGATTATTTGAACACCAAGTCCTAAAAGGCCCAAAACGGTTAGCAGACCACCAGCGTGAAAATATGGTAACACACCGTATACCACATCCGTACTGCTCAGATTAATCATTTTGTATCTCTCACATCTGATTCCTTGAGCTTTGCTATAATTATGTTATCATTAAAATAAAACGATTTGTAGGTGATTCCTTGCCTCTTTCGTTCTTGTAAAATTTAGGTTATGATAATTTGAATACGGTAATTCAGACATAATTGTAATCGCCAGATATCTCAAACACATTGAAAGATCTGTGACAAATAGTTGACACTTGTTCTGATCTTTTTTGCTTGCCAAATACAAACTACTACTAAAAATTAATTGAGTTACAAGTTGAGAAACACAACAAATATTTCTATGCATGTGTGTATGTGTGTGCATGTGTGGGTGTGTGTATGTATGCATGTGTATGTGTGTGTATGCATGTGTGTGTATGTCGTGTATATGAACAGATAAATAAAACAATTTTCAGGAAGAATGTTTACAAAATTGTTAATCATAAAGTAATACCAACATACCGGATCAATTCAACATTAGCAATAAGTGCACTGTGATTTAAAATAACTCCTTTTGGTAATCCGGTTGTTCCGGAAGAAAAGAAGATCATTGCCTATAAATTGTGCTTGTTATTATTCATGTAATCTTATTTTGCACACATTGCTCCTTCTTTTTAAATATAAATTTTCAAATAACGAAGAATTTTGCGTATTCTAAAATGCAAAAAAAAAAAAGGAAGGGAAATGTGCTTACTGTATTTTTCTCATGAACAAGTTTGTTTTGAAATTGATATATTATTTCATTATTCCAAAATGAATTATCATTGTTTAAATAATATTGTAAAGCATAATACAATAAACTTTCATTGGTCGAATCAAGCATTATAATCATAACCTAAGATACTGATAACATTATAATCATAATCTAAGATACTGATAGCATTATAATCATAACCTAAGATACTGATAGCATTATAATCATAACCTAAGATACTAATAACATTATAATCATAATCTAAGATTAATTAAATTTAAAGATGAACTGATATTTGAAATAGAAGAGAAATTATGATTGCATTGTAATCATATCAATAAAAACTTCAATACAATAATCGTTATGAACCACTAACCGTACACTGTTATACATTAAATTTCACGGAAAAACGGAGACATTCATATAAATGATGAAGTATATAAGTTAATCATTTATCATATCAATATAATATGCCCATTATATGCTATCCTATGATTTAATCAGTTCAAAAATTAAGATGATCAAAAAAAAGAAGGATAAACGATGAGTTATTTCAACTACTTACTTGAACATTCTCTCCTTTTAAATGTTGAATTTTTTCAAATAACTTTTCTTCGGTTAATATCCATTTAACCGAAACTTCCTTGAAATATTTCGTAATTTCGTCTAAAATTAAACATTTTAATAAATACACAAACAATTGTTGAAGAATTTTTTTTTTGTAGATTTTTTGGTTACAGTAATTTGATTAAGCTATCCCATGTAGTTCAAATCTTGGGAAAGTTACTATCCTTACTAAACTTAAAATGCTAATTAAATGATGATTAAGAAACAATTTGAGATGACAATTTCACTTTGAATGTACATCTTTGTACATTTTTATTATCACTTCTCACTTCTCACTTGTATAATTACATAGATGATTGGAATGAATTTTGATAACAAAAACAATGTTCCATACTTATGATTGTATTTTGTAATAAATTTAATCATTTTTCTCACTTATAAATGATTGTCTTAGTTTACTAACATGCTTTATATGCCGGATTCAATGGTACCAAAATAGCGCCAATGCTAACAGCAGCTAAGATAAAAATGATATAATCCAAGGAATTCCCGGTATATGTACCGATCACATCACCATGTTGAATACCTAGTCTTATTAATGCATTACGCATTTCCTCTAATCGATTAATTAACTCCGAATAGGTCAAGAACTTCATTGTTTCTGGGTCAATCTGAAATATTTCGCAGGAAATTTTCTTATCATATCTTATCATGATATTGAATGCTTCTAAGTCATGTTAAGAATTAGAATGCATATAAATACGGTACATTACATTTCATAAGAAATTAAACAATATTTCTTTCCAGTGAACCTTTTAGAAACTTTTTTTATGGCTAATACTTTTCTAAAATTTATTTCTATGAATTTATTATTATTTCAGTTTGTTTTTTTGTCGAAATTTTACAAAACTTTTTTTTTCTTTTTTATAAAACTTTTCTTTTCAGTCAGCCATAATTTAACAAAGCTTCGATTTGAATTTAATTTATTAATATGAAGAAATTGATAAGTTACTAAAGTCTTTTAAACAGGGAAATGATTTATACTTACCAAAGCGATTGCATTTCCAAATTGTTTGATAATTTCAAGAAAATATTCATAGAAGGATTTTGCAATCGTTGGGATCTTTTCGATAAAATAATTTCGTATTGTCATTTTTTAATTCGACAAATCTGAATGATGTTTCCACCCGTCGGAATAAGATATATCAAATTTTGAACATTTTAATTTATTTTAACCTTTCAACTTTTTTAACTCAACAAATTTTTTCTCATTCCAAACTAATGGCATTTTTTGGTAAGGGAAAAATTCATCATCAGACTTATTCTATTCATCTCTGATATTTTATCAAATGTTTATCATCCAATCAATAGTAACTCGAGACATTTTCAAAAGCCAAAATAAACTTAGCATTTTAACTTATTATATCTATTTTGAAATACTAATATTATGCTAAAAAAAAATAATTTTGTGAAATTTCTGATCATAACGATATAAATGTTTCGAATGGTCGATTATATTATAATTAGTTATGATAACAAATTATGATAAGGAAGAAGCAATAGTCGCAAATCACTTCTTATCACTTAATTTTTAATATAGTTGTAAAGCGGTCAGAGATTTTTATCTCTAATAAGATTTAATTTGATCCTTTGGAAGACTTTCCTTCTATATATCTCATAATAAATACTGAAATTCAAGAATGAATTACTGATTGTTTTACAATTAATCGCATAAAATTTGTTCAAACTAATTACCTTTTAAGTTGCCGACCAAGTTAAAAAACTGTCAGGAATAATTAACAAACTAATAATTACAACTAATGCGCAATAATTAATACGCAAAAAATTTACGGAGAGAATGATGATACAAGAATGAATGAAGTAAAATTATTGGATAGTAGAATCATTCCTTTTTAAATCAATCTTTTCTAATGTTTCCTAGAGCTTTTATAGATTAGATGATATTGCAAAAGTCTAATTAGTTCTAATTTTGTGATTTTTCAAAATCCATTACAGTATGCCGTCATTATAATGATAGCTAATATAACTTTAGTAGGCATACTTATTGGATAGCATTACAATAAATGATTTTGAATATAATTTTATTGCCGTTATTTTTTTAAGTAAGATTGATTAAAATTAGTATTTCTTTGAATTAGTTGTCTAACTAATTCTTTTCTTAATTGTTTGTGGAAAATGTACAGGAAAGAAAAATTTATTTTTTATTTCATCAAAACTTCATTATCTAATAAATAATGAATAAACAGTGTTGAACATATATAAAATTAAATTTCAACATATATAAAATATAATTTTTGCCTAATTTGAAAAATTTTAAGATCTGAATCATAATTAATACTAGAATTGAATCGAGTTTTAGTCAACAATTCAACTAAAGGATAGATTAATCAGAAAACGGTTTTCCGAATTGTAAGCATCTCTTCAACAGTTGACCTTTACCAATAACAGATGACAATGTTCTCTACCTCTAATTATAATAAATGAACATTCTCAAACAATTTCTTTGGTTTTTTAAAGTTCATCTAAAGAAGTATGAATTGCGCATTATGCGAGAAAGTCTTTTACAAAGTCTGAGATCGATTATGCATTTTTGTCTAATAGTATTAATTCATGTTTAAGATGGATCTAGTAATTTTACTGAATCTATTTATCGTTTAACTCACTTGTGATATATCTTTGTAGGAAAGTTATAAGCAAAAATAATAGTGTTTGTAGAATTTAACTAAAGATTGTATGAGAAAGAAGGAATAGTATCATATTGAAGAAGCAGAAAAGATTAATAAAATTTTTGAAATATGGTTGTATTAGAGAGTGAGAAAATTTGAAAATATCTTTGTAATTGTAAATTTTTTTCATGCGGTTAAAGAAAAAAAAACAATTGGAACTAATAGTAATTGTAATGTGTAATACTTTAAAACGGTGAAAAAGATAATAATAATTGGGAGAGGTTTCATATTTTAAAAATTAATAAGGACTAAGAATAAAATATCACGTCTTAAATTTTTTTTTACTCCAGCTTTTATTATCTTTACGGTACCACTTACGATCATTTCAGTCCTAAATTTTGATGGTATCATTTCAGTCCTAAATTTTGATGGTATCATTTCAGTCCTAAATTTTGATGGTATTATTTCAGTTCTAAATTTTGATGGTATTATTTCAGTCCTAAATTTTGATGGCATCATTTCAGTCCTAAATTTTGATGGCATCATTTCATCCTAAATTTTGATGGTATCATTTCAGTCCTAAATTTTGATGGTATTATTTCAGTTCTAAATTTTGATGGTATTATTTTAACCCTAAAAATCTTGGTGATATCATTTCTGTTTTATTTGAAGCTCACATTATGAGATCCTTTAATATTTTCCTTTTTATAAGTTATAATAAAGTAAATTCCATTTATTAAAAGAGTTCATAAGAAATGATTATATTATGGATATTCTTTTCGTTAACAATGTTTATTTTGTGAAAAATTTTAGCAAATTTATTTCTTTTAATTTAAATAAGTAATTAACGATCGATTCCTTTTTACATTTAATTGCTGAAAAAAAAGAAATTCAGAAATAGGAGAAAGGTTAAAAGTAAAAAGTATTTCATTAAATTCAAATGAAATTATTTAATTTTTGTGATAAGTGAAAAAAAGAAAGAAAAAAACTTAGAAATGAATTAATTTCATTTTGAAGTATTAATGTTACTTAATGTCTCACCATTTTTTCTGCCTTTTTGTTCGCCTTTTTCGTCATCATTAAAATTTTTAAAAATCAAAAATCAAAAAATCCATTAAAATCAGATCATTAACCATCGCCTGCCATTATGGAAACCAAATGTAAACGTTTCTAACTTTCATTCAACACATCATTCATCATACAGTTGAATCATTCATTTCATTTTATCTTTTACTTTCAAACTTCTCCAATTTTTTTACAATTATTCTTCTAAATTATGAAAAATATAAAATTACGAATTCAACAGATACATGGAAATAGACGATGTAGATGGTATCATTTCATGTTTCCCCGCCCGCCCCGCCTCATTCGGTATCTTCTCGGGTGATATGTGTCTTCTCCCGCGATTTTTTAATAATAATTAATTAGCCGTTCTGATAATACACATCAACTATTTGAGAGTGCAACTTAAAAATAATACGAGCAGACAGAAAAACAAATGGGGAGGCACACAGGCAGACAGACATACACAACAAACACACGTACATACCTATCTGTTATTTCATTTACTCGTAATGAATTCCATCAAATGTAATTTCGGGAACTTAGTTGTTATCGATTGGTGTTTTCTTGAATTGACCTTTGACATGATGACTAACCTTTTTTTTAAAAACTTGTTTCAAATGTTAATTAATCGAAGATGCCAGTTCATTTTCAGGGTTAAATTTGATTAAACTCCTAATTAAATTTAATTAAATTATTTCGTCATAAATTTTCATTTCCAAAAGTAACTGAAACCTTTATCTGAGGTTTATTTGTCATTTTACCAATATTTTTGAGCAAAAAATTAATTCAAGAAAAAGAGAATAACCTGTTTTTCATTCTTCCAAACGTCACATTATTTGACTTCTTTTACTTACATTTTTCACTTTATCATATTTTTATCTAAGCAAATTATTGGTTTTAATGAAATGAACAAAATGTATCGAAGAAAAAAAACAAAAACGAAATTTCAAATCCTTGGAATTATCAAATAAATTGACTGATAAGCATTTATTTACTTACTCAAACAATTATAATAAATTAATGGTTAGAAGAAATATTGTGAAATAATTGTAAATGTATCTTTAACATACATTTAATCATTTCTATTCATATCAATTACTTAATTTAATTAAATTTTTATCATATTTGTTGGAAATTGATCAAAACCATTTCTAATACCGTTTTTTGAATTTAATTTTTCAATTACATCGATAAAAATCAGAATTTTATTATTAATGTATAATTTTGCATGATCTTTCCCCCTTTCCCCTTATATACATATTCGAAAAAAAAAGAAAAAAACAGGAACGATCTTTTTTTTCGTCCTCTTTTTTATCAATTTCCAATAATTATTTTTTATCAAAACAATATTGTTGAATATTCATTTTATCATTCCTTATCAATACATTTTATCATTATCATCACATTCAATTTTATTTATAGCATCAATTTTGTTTACTTCAATACGATACTTTCTCTTTTCTATGTTACAATAATACGGTAAAATGTATCGGAAAATATCATAAATAATGAAAACAAATTCTTGAGCAAATTGTGATTATTACTTTTGGAATGGTATTGATTGAAAACTTTGTCAGTTGCTTCTTGTTTTATCTTTTATTTCCCTTTAATTTAAACAAATAATCATCGATTCCTTTTGCAAGCATTAATGTTTGTGTACAATTAACATAAAATGAAAATAGCAGGAGGAAGGAATGTATTTTTGAAGCCATCAAAGTTATTAACATCTTTTTATTCCGGATATATTATGTTATTTAGGCATAATAGCATTTTTTCATTCCGGATATGTAATATTATTTAGGTATAAAAACATTTTTTTATTCCGGAAATGTTATATCTAAATATTGCTGTTAACGACCAATGAAACAAAAATTGCTTCATTATTCTTTTCCGGTTCATCTTGTTAGATATTGATTCGGGAAAAGTTTGATTGAGGAAGAAGGAAGACATTAGCATCTGTTAAACTTTTTCATATAATCCCACCTGTTCTACCACTTTTTTTTTCTGATAATTGCAATCATTCATTAGTAAAGTTAATTGCAATAGGAAGAGAAAAATGATTCCATTCATTATTAATGAGGAAAAAAAAATGAGAAAATGGAAGAAAATATTTGTATTAGAATGATATTATGTATATTAAATTAATACTAATTAATTTATTCCCATTGTTGATTACTTATCATTTATAATATTATTGGAAAAGAATATTATACATCATTCATATTTTGTGGGATCAAAATTTAGCGTTGTTTTATCTTTTATCAATAAGTTTAAATTAATTAATTTGATATTCATTAACATATACCATACTTAGCATTACTTGTTTTATGAAGCTTATTCAAATTTAAATCATCTCTCAGTTCTCTTTTGAGTGATAACGATACTGAATTATCAGCACGAA